ACGTTCCAAACGAAAGCAGACGAAAAAAAAAAATGTTTTGCTCTCGCTTTCCGGCGGGGGGTTTCGCTCGCCTCCGACGATCTGCGGACAAAAAAAAACAAAAAAAACGGCTTGGTCGCGTCGAGTGCACGTCCGTGAGGACCAGCGGAGCGAAAAATCGAAGTCCGTTTTCGGTATAGTCGCTGCGCAACGTCAATACGGGTAATGAAGCCCGCTGGACGGCGATCGCCCTGCGCACGGACCGATACTCGAAAGCGGCTCTCCCGAGGGTTGGTCAACAGACTCGCCCGACCGAGCGGAGAAAGTGAAAAGATACGATCTGATCGACTTTAAAAAAATAACGTAAAAAAAAAAGTTGAGTCAACGTTCTCGAATGGAGACATCTTCGTGTCAAGTCGAAGTGGGGATTAGAGAGGGCAATAAAAACGCGAAAGTAAAAGTGAAAAATAGCGGACTATCGATCGTCTTATACTCCGTTTCAAACTAAGTCTGACTAGAGTCACTAAATGAGCTGCGCTTAGAGTATGGCCACCCTGTTCCCCGGTATTGTTGCGGGCACCAGCCATCTTGGGTGCTTAGTGCAGAGCAGCCGCAACTGTGCCGATTTTTCTGATTCAAAAGTGCCACTTTGTCGGCACTATTGATTCGGCGTTAGGAAAGCTCACGTGATATTGCTTTGCTCTGTTGCGAACTGTCGAAAAATTCATGGTGGACGAAAAACGTTTCCCGTGGTTTGGGATAAAGCTTCAGACAACTGGCAACCACGGTTTGAAGCACCACGATGGGTTAAGTGTCGTTACTCTGAAACGTAGCTTATTTGGTGGCTCTGAGTATACGACCATGGTCAACGCTGCGGTTCGATATAGCAAATCAAGCAGCCTCAAAACTGTATCGTCCCGGCGCTCGCTTTGTGCGTTTGCAATCGCCAACGAAATAGAGGGCCTTAGCGCGATAAACTGGCTGCCGAAAGTGACCCCCGATTGGCCGCCGCCATGTTACACAATTTCGACCACTAGACACGTGACCCTATATTTGTACGTCTAGATGTTAACAAAGTACCGCGCACAACTAATTGCTTATTGATCTTTAGTAACAGTGCCGACGAGATAAGTTATGGTTCGTTCGTTTCAAGTCCAAAATGTGCTTTTACGACAAAAACTCGGGCAGCTTCGCAATGCCTCCGCTAGGTGCCGTAAGCCGCGGTGCTATATTTTGGGTTTCTATCCAAGCCAGACACTGATATCTGGGGCTAACAGTGTCAAAAAACTAGTTTATCGTGTTGTTTTTAGAGCGATCGGGATACAAATCTCGGCTCAGTTTTGCGTAAAAGCCTCAGGATTTGGTACGGTAATGTGTCTATTGGTCCGAATTGTACAACATGGCGGCCGCCATAGGGGGTTCACTTTTGCCTGGAGAACGGGACACCAGTTTATCACTCTCAGTCCCTCTACCTCGCTGTATCATACACAAGCAGACGATGATTGCCCTGACGACGTACTTTTGGTGCTGTTTTTCTGGTTCCGTCGTGTCGCAGCGTCGCGGCTACGTTCGAACGGACCTATACTTCGTCTCACCCTACGATGGGCTAAAGGCAAAAGCTATGGACCGCCAGATATAATCACCAGCCACTTCGAAATTGTGCGGTATTTCGCTTCGATGCACGTATCGGTTCCCGCTTCTCGGATCACTGATGAGGGGACGGGTGGACAGTGGTTCGAATCGAAGAGCATTGAGTGACTCAACAATTTTACATCGCAAAGAAAGCCACGACACATAGGTTCTTTGCAGCGTCGAAGCTATAGAAATGAAGTGGCGTTTTTGGATTCGAGCATTATTCGTCCACTTCTAATCAACGTTAAGAGTGTCATAGTATAGGGTGGAACGTGATTGGACCTGGCGGCCCGGGGCTTTGGCCTTTAGTCATAGGCTGAGACAAAGAATAGTGCAACACGGGGAATAGAGGCCGGACTTTACGCCAGTTCTACGCTCACTGGCAGTTTAAGAAAAACGGGCTGTGCCGAGTCCCTGATGTCTTACAGATCAATCTGCGCAGTCAGTGAGATAGCAGCAGAAAATGTAAGAGCGCGAACGAGCTGGTAAAAATTTGTAGTTACGAGATTACGGTATTGGCTAGTAAGAATGCAGAAGACGCAATCGCTATGCGAGGCTCGTAAGGAAAATAAGCCAAGCCTTACGTTTTCCGAACTGTCAATAACTGTAGGGAGCACTCACTGGCGGCCATAGCTGTGTGAGCAACTGCCGAGCGCATGTTGACGGCAAGCTTCTACAGTTCTTTTGCAACGTGCATTCCACACCATCAAGATTGCCGGTCTTTGCAGGCTATTAATGAAAGCTAGTTCTGAGCATGCGCTCTAAACAGCGCCCTCAAATACTTCTTCCAGTAAATAGACCTATTGCTTTATTACCCAAGCATCAAGGAGAATGCAGGGATTGGTGTTCCACGCGTCGCACATGCTGGCCTCAGCCAGTAGTAGCTTTTCTAAAGCAAATACCTAAAACAAATGGCTTTTTGCACGCGCGTTCGTCAACGCTTTATTTTGGTTATATACTTCGAATCTTTTATACGGGGAAGACGTGCGCGTGTGGTGCGTGGAACACCAATCCCTGCGTTCTCCTTGATGCTTAGGTAATATAGCAAATGGTCATTACCCTCCACAATGAATTTAAATTTTTTTTAATAAGATATGTGGAAACTTAGCAACTGCCATTTTGTTTTAGATCCCGAGTTCTTCAACCTGCTTTACGCTCCCTCGTAAGAAAAAAAAAATGAATAAAATTATATGTAACTGACAATGAAGTTAAATTATGGTGTGGAGTGGGGTTATCTGGTTATCTCGATTATCCAAAGTCGCTTGAGAGCACTGATTGGTCTCAGCAGCGTTCTGCGATGAGAGAGAGATATAGCGAGTGAATCAAGTAAGTGCTTACGTTTTCGCGAATGTTCGTGCAAAGACGCATTTTTACAAATATATTGCCTCGCGCTTTTGTATAAGGAATATTCACTGGGCGCCATATTTGTGGGTTCTGTCTAGAGCGCATGCTCAGAACGAGCCCCCATTAATAGGCTGCTAAGACCGGCCATTTTGACGGTGTGGAATGCACGTTGCAAAAGAACCCTGGAAACTAGCCTTCAGCACGCGCTCAGCAGTCGCGCACACAGCTATGGCCGCCAGTGAATACTCCCTATAGGAAGTATTCACTGGCGGTCATAGCTGTGAATACTCCCTATAGGGAGTATTCACTGGCGGCCATAGCTGTGTGCGCGGCTGCTGAGCGCGTGCTGATGGAGGGAGTATTCACTAGAGCCATAGCTGTGTGCGCGGCTGCTGAGCGCGTGCTGTTGGCGAGCTTCCCCGGTTCTTTTGCAACGTGCATTCCACACCATCAAGATTGTCGTTCTTAGCAGCCTATTAATGTGGGCTCGTTCAGAGCATGCGCTCTAGATATCACCCACAAATATGGCGCCCAGTGAATACTCCTTATTATTGATGTGCGCGGCCAAAAGCGTCGCTGTGGTCAGCTTTCCACGACTGGCCAAACCATGGGCATATGAGCTCTGTCAGATGGTCAACTTTGAAGGTGTAGTTTCGGATTGCGATGGCCCCTAGCTTCTACTGTGCTTTTTAAACACACCCTCGAACCCGTCGTTGCACCTGATGGTAAGTGGCCAGAATACCAACTAGTGACGTCACGGCGAGGCAAATCCCAGTCGTGACGTCACGGAGGGAAACCATAAGAGGGCGCCACCGAAACATCTCGGCGCTACTACGATGGGGCCGTTGATTTCACTTTCTATTTTAACGCGTTGTTCGGAACGCGTGCTCAAGGGGTGCTCCCTCGTACTGTATGTCAAAAACGCGAGGCTCGACGGCTCGAAATGCACGCTTCGTCGCGTGGCGGATAAAGACGCTCTCACGCTTGTACTTTTAGAGCACGTGCCTTTGGGCCCTCGTTCAGCTGCGCGCCAAAAGCACGTGCTCTAAAAGTACAAGCGCGTAAGCGTGATTCTACAAGATGCCTCACTTGAATGAGGCCACAAGCGAAGCACGTCTGAAAGTCACTCGCCTCGAACTCACGTTCCGACGATCCTAGTGTGACCGTAGCCTTGACCTATCAGCGCGTTATTTAGCGCAACCAAACGGGTATTTTTTTTTAAAGACAATACGTCATTCAGCTTTTTATCCCCAGTCGCATACAAATTTAAAGGATGAAACTATAAACATCGTACGATAGATCGCCTTCACTACTCCTTTTACTGGGAAGGAAACCTCAATTAAACAAATTGATATCAGGAGGAAACCTGATGCCTGTATTACATTTGCCTTTCAGGTCAGACTGCGTGACAGAAACAAGAAGACGTGGTTGCGCCAGTGTAGCGATACACTTTAAAACAAATATGTAGTATATCTGTTATTTACACTGGTTACTTGCATTGGGAATCACCTTTAAAAAGTAGTAAACCCGCCGAAAAAACGCTCGTACACTTTCCAGCGCACCTGCTTAAGCTTCAGCCTTCAACTTATTTGACGGTCTCTTGAGATGTTGGCGTCAACGTGGAAGGGAAGCGTGAGATAGCGATTTTAGAAAGGAAATAACATGAGCCTCAGATTGGGATCTTCAAGATTATTGCTGCGGCTCTAATATTTAGGCAGCCCAACATAAAGCTACATTGAAAATCTGCTCTAGCTCGTCATGAACTCGACGCTCGCACGCTTCTTTCCACTATACGTTGGGTGCTCTGTAAGATACTGCGTCTGATAAAACGCGTGCTAGGATACGAAGTCGATGAATCGTTCAGACCCTTTCACCAGCTTAATGACGAGTTCCGGTCTCCGAAGTCACTCGTTCCACGAAAGCAAATTTGGTTACTCATCTTCCGGATTCCAATCCTCTCGTCACACACAAAACGAAGGGCTTCTCGTGCAAGCTCGCGGCGAGAGGTGGCCGGGGCTGCTTAAGCGCCTCATCGGTTATCTCACCTTGAAAAGCGGCTTCGAAACCCACCGACTCTTCGGATCCTCGGACAAGCGGTGGCCCAGCGATCGCGCATAGCGAAAACATCAGAAGCACTGCGGCCATCTTGAATCGATACGCCACCGGCATGGCTGCCACACCACCGACGCCGGTTTGACAGGCCTCGGGCTCGATCGCCCAACCCCGGGCGCGTGTTCCGGGTCACACTGCTCGCCGATTCCAAGCACGGGGCCACACAACACCGCTGCAATGTGCACACTCCATTCCTCTCGAGTTGTGCGGAAGGGTTTTTCGGCCGAGGGAACACGGGGCTTCGAGCTCGGGGTTTGTCCGGAATCTGCGGGGAGTTGGTTGGAGCTCGCTTCGCTCGCTTTCGGAAGGTAGCAAGTGGCCGCTCGCAGCGCCATCCGGTGGGAGCGGCGGCAGGTGTTTTGCTCCGCCGGGGTGGCGACGTCTCGCGGGGCGGAGGATTTGGCGCCCAATGTGGGGTGAAGGCGGCGCGAGAGCTAGATTTATGACTTCGCTCCAGAGGCGCCTGAATGTTTTTCTTCTCTCGATGGTAATTTTAGAACCTTAAATTAGTCACGTTGCGTTGGCTGATAAGCGAGACAGTGATCGAAGGTTTAATTTTGGGATTGGTCGCGGACTCCCTAAAAGTAACAAAAAAATTTAGAAAAAAAAGTGCGTTTTAGGAAACGGCTATTATACCTTATTAAGTCATCGTTGAAACACCAATTTATACAAAAGTGCACAAAAAATGTCTACGCTCAAGTGCACATTACAAAAAAAAAAAACATTTGAAAGACGAGAGAAGAGAAACAGACGTATGTACAGTGGCTAGAGATATAGGCTGAATGCTGAGGCGGCGACCAGGGTGTAGAAAGCGCGCTGTCGCGCGGCTAGCGTCGGAGGTGGGCGGGCATCGCGTGCGGTGGGTGAGTAGACACATTTCAACATCTTCACTGGTGTTCGGATCCTGCACTCACTGCTTGTTAGGCTGCGCGGCTGTACTCCTTGGTCGCAGTTTGCGCATTCTAGCTTATATCACAAGCCGCTGTACAGAAAACCCCTACGCCCGCGTAAGGTGCCTAAGTGAACGTCTGTCCGTCTCAGGGTGAAGACATCTTTTGTTGCTCCGAGTGGACCAGCGGGAGACGCGATGGCGCACTCGGTGAGTGTGATTTGTGCGTTAAGATGACGCCTAAGCATTAGCTGAATCTCACCGGTTTGCGTGCACTTCTAAAGACGATAAAAAAAAACGATTGGGCAGAACAATGATTGAGATGTCAACACATAAGCAAAAGTGCGTGTTTGTATGAAGATCAGCGCTCTCTGCTGCCACCTAGTGAGCACTCGTCACGCATATTTAGGAGGTGAGTGAAGTCCACATCCGAATTAAAATGTGCTTTTCTTATAATCGTACGCTTTCTGCAATTAAAGCTTCGTGTGCGGAGTTGACATGTGTCCTCTTTTAGAGCGCAGCTCTTAGGCGCCCGTTTCTGGCTTGAGCGGTGTCACCGTCGTCGTAACCGCGCTTTGCATTATGGGACGTTTTCCGTAACTACGTCATACGTGACGTCACGTGTGACGTCACGAGGGCAAAATGTTCCCACTAAATTTGCCAGAAACTTTTTTTTCCGATAAATTTAACGTGAATATTTATCTGCTAAATTTAGCGGGGAAACTTTTCCGCTAAATTTAGCTGGAAAAAGTTTACCCGCGTGACGTCATACGCGACGTCTCGTCTGACGTCACATGTGACCCTTGCCTTTTCCTCCTCAAGAGCTGCGCTCTAATTTGGCATTACAGAGAATGGTAAACGTCTTTCTTTTTTTTCTGTGTGTTCGGAAATCGTAAATTTAGCTTTAGTCGATGACGGGGTTCTTATCTGTGTTCTTATCGTGTAGGGGTCTTACTGGCCGCAGATCTATGAGTCTTATAATCCAGCTCGCCACGCGTATATCTTACGCTGTCAGTGCCAGTATAGTACTTATTACCACACACAAATTTCTCCTACCATTTTTCATAAAAAGGAAAATAAGCAGGGGCGTGCGAGTAGAGTTTATGAAGGGAAATAAAAATGTTCCCTCTTTCTGGCCGTAGAATTAATTTTGCGATTTTCCAGCAATGGACCCCAGTCTGTCGTGGATCACTGCATAAGCAAAGCCTCGGCAGATTTGCGAATGATTTGCCACCCCGTCCATTGTCAATCATCTGTCTGAGAAAATCAGTTCGACTGGACGCTTAAAGTTGTCATAGGTCGTAGATCTGGATTGGCGTCCTTCACCACGATTGAAGGCTGCACGTCCCACCTTGAATTTCTGTATACACTCTACCACTCTTCAACCAACGAGCTTGAGTGAACTTAGAGCGGTAAACCAGCGGTCAAAAATGGCACCCCCCCCGGTTGCCGCCATCTTGCCTGTTTGCCACATTAGTGATCACGTGACGTTAAGATGGCTGCGCCCAAAGGTGGGCCAGATCAGATTGGCCAGATCGCGGTCAGCAGATGGGCACTCTGGGGCTGCGTTCGAATCTTACTCGAATGGCGTCGAGTTAATCCGGCGGATCAAGTCACGTGACAAGACAGATGCAGCAACGCTGGACGCGGGTAGGTTTTCAAACTCAATGGGTACGAGAACTTCACCCAAGAGTGAGATAAAAGATGCGTTCGAGTTACTTGCACCTCCGGCGCCGGTGCAGAAAAGTGTAGGGCAGTCTACTTCCGGTATATGTACTGAGATACGACCGGAAGTACACCGCCCCACACTTTTCTGCACCGGTGCAGGAGGTGCAAGTAAATCGAAAGCAGCTTCTATTTCACTCCTGGGTGAAGATCTTGTATCCGTTGCATTCGAAAACCTACCCGCTTCCAGCGTTGCTGCATCTGTCTTGTCCCGTGACTTGATCCGCCGGAACAACTCGGCGCCATTCGAGTAAGATTCGAACGCAGCCACAGAGTGCCCATCTGCTGACCGCGATCTGGCCAATCTGATCTGGCCCACCTTTGGGCGCAGTCATCTTAACGTCACGTGATCACTAATGTGGCAAACAGGCAAGATGGTGGCAACCGGGGGGGTGCCATTTCCGCTGCAGGCAGTGGGTTCCGGTTTACCGCTCTAAGGTAAAACTCAAGCTCGTTGTCTTCAACGCGATAAAACACTTCCTTCATACTGTGCTCAAAATCTTCGATAAATAGTGGTGCCGTACAGGCACTGCACACACACACACACACACACACACACACACACACAAATCGCTGCACGCTATTTTTTTTTGCACATATTAGGCGGGATAGCCATTGTTTCTCATGCCGCAGTCACAACTGAACTGACTTAACATGTTCAAGCTTGCACAGCAATGGTTAAAAACACAATGAACTTGAAAGAAAAGAAAAAAAAAAGCGCGGAAATAGCGGTGAGTCCAACGGAAGTTCTAAGATAACAGGTGTGTGGATAATTGTTAATTGACCCTCGTAAAGTCGAATAAAGCTTGAACTACCGGATTTTTCGGCGGTTTTGAAGCTACGGGATTGGCAAATGGGATGTTTGATTCGGACCATCGTTCGCCCCCTCTCCCTCGAGACAACGGAGATGAGCCCGGAGTGCGTGGGGCTCCGAGGAAAGGCAAGCGCGTGCGCGGGCTCCATAGAAAGATCCCGGGGCGCCCCCACAAACGATCGAGGAATCGAAGTTGTCCGTCCGACAGAGCGGCGCCGCGACGCTTTAATGGCGCAGACGGCGGCGCAGAGAACGAAAACTTTAACGACTGCGTTTGTTTGTTTGTTTGTTTCTGACCGGACGACGCAGTTCTATTCCGCCTTTCTCCGACGTTCTGGGGGAAGATCTGATTTCTCTTTAGGAAACACGCATACACGCGCACATACGCACACGCATACACACGCAGATGTGCACGCACATACACACAAAAACGCGCGCGCACGTTGCGCGCAGACACGTACCAGACACGGACACGCACACAAACACACACGCATACGAACACACATGACGCACGCACACGCGCACGCACATGATAACACACACACACACACGAACGCATGATAGAGATGAAAAGATTCGCGACTCATTCAGGGCGCTGGGCACTAGAGGAAAAGAACGTCTCGCAGAGTTACGAGATGTGTCGTCCGAGAAGAGATGGGCGCACATAGGAAGAGGACTCACTGGAGGTCATTGACTCGACAGTTTCAGCCCCACGCTTTCTCTGCTAGTGTTTATAGTAGCTGGACACATCTCTCTTGTAGTCGTTTTTTTTTTTTTTCTCTCCTCTGTCTTCCTACCGTTTATTCAAATGAGCAATCCGGTATTTGCTTTCGTGGATTGAGGCTAAAACTCGGGAGCTTTTATTCAAATGAGAACCAAATATGCAATGTTGGTCTTTTCAACGCATGTTAACCCTTTTCTTAGCCGAGATTTTTTTTTTTTTTTTTAAGAAACTCGTAATTTTTTAGTGGCCCCCGACTTGCGAAATCGCGTGGTTTTGTTTACAGATTGGTCTTGAAAACTACCCGGCCATTACTTTGCAGCAACAAAAATGACGAATACCAGTTATCTACACACTAGACTTTCAGTCAAACATACTAGCTCTATTCGCAACTTTCAGAGGTGTTGCTACCGCGGCGCGAGAATGACGCCCCCTTGCTCCTGGACGATTGGCTACACCTTCCTGACGTGAAAAAAACGAAGGCTTAAATACTGCTCGTATGGAGCAAAAGTATAATTTCTTACGCGTCCCACACTCAGCCTCGTACTGCTGTTCTACGATGATCATCCAGATGACAGCCATTTTGATATTTTCTATAGGTGCAAGAGCGCTCTCTGTAGGTCGTGAAAGTTGCGAATACTTGTTGTCTCATTCAAAAAAAAATAAAAAAAAGTTTTGCGCATTATTCATGCGCTGCACGAAGTATTTCTTGCAAGATTTGGTTGTCCTCTTACAAAAATAATAAATGAGTTCCTTTTAAGTTTCTTATGTATTCTATTTTGAATATGGCTGGTTTGGGATGATAAATAGTAGTTAAATATTTTTTGGAAACTTCGTTAAAGATTTCGAGTGCTGAGAGTTCATTTTGTTGAGTGCTATATAATATATTGAATGTTTGTGCTATTTCA